GAGATTTCCCAGGAGCATGCACTTTAAATAGTGCTGATGCTCGTTAGGACCATTTTTAGAAAACCCAGATTTGAGAAAATCAGTAAGGGAATTGGAGAAGAGAAATGAAAACAAAGATGCTAATGAACTAGAATGGATTGAGCATAAGGAATACGAGATATAAATAGTACAGTTCTCCTGGGACAAAACTAAAGCTATCATATTTGAATATAGGATGAAATCAAATATAAAACTTTTTGTAAAAAAACCCAAATTCTTGCCCGGCCAGAGTGGCTCAGTGGTTGAGCATCAGCCCATGCACCAAGAGGCCTCTGGTTTGATTCGTGGTCAGGGCGTATGTCCAGGTTGTGGGCTCAATCTCCAGTAGGGGGGATGCAGGAGGCAGCCAATTGATGTTGATGTTTCTCTCTAATGTATGTTTTTTATCTTTCTCTCTGTCTCCCTTCCTTTCTCTCAAAGATCAATAAAAACATATTAAAACAAAACATCAAAAAACAAATTCTCTCTCCTTGGCACTTCTTTCCTCTAGGAAACTAGGCTTTTCTGAGGCCATTGCTTCTCTTGCAACTTTCTCAAAGGGTGGCTGTTTTAGCTCCTACCTACCATGTAGCAGAGTCCAGAGGAGGAGAAAAGAATATGTGGGCAAGCTTCCTCCTAGGTCTTTAATGCCTTTCTCTTCCCTCTTCTTTCAAAACCCAGCTCATCTGAAGAACAGGCCTTGGAGGGGATTATATTACCCTCCAAGTCTCCCTACACCAAGTCTCCCTACTACTCCTTTTCATTCATTGAAGATTTGAGCAGCTAGCTCACTGTAATCTTCTTTACTACGGCCCCTGTTCCTATTTCTGTTGAACTCAAACTTTAAGTTATGCACACTGACACCTGGCCTCTCGGTTCTTGACCTCACTTTACACAAACTTTCCTCCATCTTACCAGTGACCAACTCACATGGTCATAGCCTAGACTACATCATTACCAATCTACATATATAATAGGCTAAGTGTCTGTCCATCCGACTAGTAGCTATGACATGCACTGACCACCAGGGGGCCGACGCTCAACACAGGAGCTGCCATGACGCACACTGGCCATTTAAAAATAAATGGCACCATGGACCTGGTGCCGACAAACCAACACTCGGCTTCCCCCAAGTGGGACACAGGCCCTGCCACCACCCCGGAGCGACACCCCACCAAATCGCAGCCAACGCTGCCAAGACCCCATGGTGCAAAATGTGGCCCCCAGCCCAGCCCAGCAACAGTCGCTGTGGGTGCCGAGTAATAATGCCAGGTAGCAACGCCTGGCTTCCTCTCCCTAGCAACTAGCCTCCTTGCCGTTTCTTCAGCCCAGGAACCTGACTTATAGCCAGGTGCAAACATTTTACAGTTCAACCAAATGTTTGTGAAACATTTTCCCATGCCTCATTTCATTTGATCCTCATAGAAGTCCTGAAGTAGGTAGATAGGAGACTTGGTAGAATCCTATTTTCTCTTCATTAGCCAGAAAATGGAGATTTAGAAAGTTTAGAAACTTGACCCGACTGAAAAGAAGTAAGAAATGGTGGAACTTGAAAATGACTTCAGTTTTTCTCACTGTGCAGAATATAGTCAGACACTGCTGCAGTCAAATATTTTACCCTTTGTTCTCCTTGTGTGATCTACAATAATAATCTGCTTCATGTTGATATTTACTGCTGTGTTGCTGACAATTACCTGAAAGAGAAGCTGGGGTGCTTCACTGGGCTGGAAAGTTTAGCTAAATCAGAAAGCAGGTCTAATTAAGCAAGTTTATTCTATATCTATAAAAGGCTAAGTTGACTCACACATGCACGATACATATAAAGCTCTCACTGGTGCCAATTGCTTGTGTGTCTCCATCTGTCACTGTCCACTGTGCCTTTGGTTGACACTTTTATTATAGAGAAAGGGTGAATAGCAACATTAAAATATTTCTTCTAATTAATTTCCTTTTAGTGTGCACGAATCCATGCACCAGGACACTAGTATCTGTATAAATCTCAATTCTAGTTATCCCACATCTCCTGTCCCTTAAGCTCATTTACTCTACTACCTACAAGGTTAGCAAGAAAATGGGGACCTCAGTTTTAAAACCCCAAGGAAACAGATTCTGCCAACAACAAATGAGGACCCTACAACTTAAGGTGAAACCACAGCCCTGGCTGACACTTTGATTTCAGCCTTGTGAGACTCTAAGCCAGTGGTTCTCAACCTTGGCTGCACATTAGAATCACCTGGGGATCTTTACAAAGAAACAGAATTTCTGGAGGATGAGGCCCAGAAATCAGGATTTTAAAAAGATCCCCAGGTGATTCTATGTGCACCCAAGGTTGAGAACCACTGCTCTAAGCAGAGACCCCAGCAACTCCCCTCCTGGACTCCTACTGGATATACTAGAGGCCCGATGCATGAAATTCATGCAAGAGTAGATCTTCCTTCACCTGGCTTCCCTGGCAGCCCAGGCTTTGTCCGGAAGGACGGCTGGCCTAATTAGCATATTACACTTTTATTATTATAGACAATTAAACTTTAGAACATTAGTCTGGTATCTGGCTCCTAGAAACAATGGGGTCATGCCACATAAAAGGAAGGTAAAAGTAAGACTCCTCTCCCTTCCTGAATTTTACCTGGGTATAATTTACTAATAGTTTTACTTCCTATTTGGCTCTAGCTCTTTTTTTGTGCTTCCTCCCAGGGCTCTTCTGTTGCCCTAAGCCTCCACTTAGGTCCCTCAAATTGCCTCAAAATTTCATAGTTTCGAGCCCTTCCCTTCATTTCCTCCTCAGCAAATTTTCCCTTTCTTCAACTGATTATCTTAACAAGGGTGTGATGGAAGGAAATTTGATTGAACTATTATATTTTACAATGGATGAACAGATCATTAAGCCTTTCCGGGCATCTTTACTTATTTATAATAGAATGTGTACTAAGTTCATTTCTAATTGGTAGAACTTGGGGCAATGATTCAATGATGTGGAGAAAATACAGAGTAGACAAAAGATGTATTTTGGGTTGGGAAAATCACCACCAAATAATGTTTTGCATACAATATCAATAAATAATTGTTAAAGGAGTGATTATGTGAAAGCAATCATGCCAAGGCAACCATCCTGTCTACCCCTGGGTAAGTTCCGCTATATTTTTTTTACCCCCTTGACGTAAAAGTTGTTTTGCACGATGCTTCCCTCAACAACAAGAGGAAGGGTTGGCACATAAAAGGTGGAGCTCAATGGGAAAAGAACAGAAAAAGAAAAGGCCATGTTTTTTCAGTTATATTTCATTTTAAAACAAGTTTTCTTTTTAAAGAACAAATAGAATTCTGCACTGACAGTAAAACCCAGATGCAATTAAAATGGTAAAACAGTAATTATTTGGGGAAAGACCTATTTATTATTTAAAGCCTGCGGACTTAAAAAAGTTCTTATAATTTAGTTTTCTAAAAGGCTGCCAGGTGGGAAGAAAAGCCATTCCAGGTGAAGACAGAGGCATGGTAGGTCCTCAACCTCTATGCATCAGCAGAATCACCTGGAGCCTTTGTTAAACCACATACTCTGGACCAGTGGTTCTCAACCTTGGCTGCACATTAGAATCACCTGGGAATCTTTTCAAAATCCTGATTTCTGGGCCTCATCCTCCGGAAATTTTGTTTCTTTGTTATGGGGTGGGGCCACAACATTAGTAACAAAGAAACAGAATTTCCGGAGGATGAGGCCCAGAAATCAGGATTTTAAAAAGATTCCCAGGTGATTCTAATGTGCAGCCAAGGTTGAGAACCACTGCTCTGGGCCTAACCACACAGATCTGCCTCCGGGGACACAGCTGAGTTTTAACAAGGACGAGAGGTAAGTCTGATAGCAGAGGGCCTGCAGGCAGTCATACAGGCTGAGAGATCCAGGGCAGGAAGCAGAGACCCGAATTCAAACCCTAATAGCAGGGGTAGAGCAAGAAAACAGATTGCAGACATAATTTCAAGACAGAGTTAACAGGGGTTAGTGACTTACTGGATATTACAGATGAAGAAGAATCTAAAGGCAACGAGGATAAGGTTGTCCCATTAATACGAGGCTATTAAGGATTCAGAAATCAGGTTTTGTATTTTTTGTTGTTTTTTTTAAAGATTGAGGCTGAGAGGTAAGAGGGGGTCCTGCTACAAGGAAGTCGACTTTGGTTAACTTGAGTTTGAGGTGCTTATGGGACATTTGTTAGACATGTCCAGAAGACACTCACAAATACAGCCTAGGGTTACAAAAGGACGTCCGGGAAGCAGGGACAAGGATGAAGGAATCATTGGTATCTATTTTAGTGGTAGTTAAAGCCTAGAGAATGATGTGCCAAGGGCGGAGGAAAAAGGGGGGGGAGGGGGATCATCAGTTTGGCTTTTGCAAGGGACAGAGTTGTTGGGCTCCTTAGAACTGCATCCAACGAGTGGTTGGGGGCAGACAAGACACGGAGGGGGACCAGCGCAACCCCCCTCTTCTGGCGGCGCCCCAGCCCCAGCAAACGTCCAGTTGAGAAGCCGGGGTTTCTTCCACCCACAGCTCCGCGGCACAGAAGCTCCCCTGCTAAGGTCCTCACTCCAGAACCCGCGCGGAGAGTACAGCCGAAGGACCCACAGCTACGAATCCCCAACCTAGTCCCGGGGAAGGAGGCGGCGGCGCTGACCGAGAAGCGTGGCCAGGCCCGGGGACCCCATGCCCACGGACTCCCCGAATCTGGCCGACCTCCCAGGGCCCTCAGCAGCCAGTTCCACTCACTTCTCGGAGGGTCCGGCCCAGCATAGTCTTCGTGTCCAGCCTGCCACCACAGGGGCCAGGAGACAGAGAGGAAAAACAAAGGTCAACAACTGCTACGGGGAGTACATGGGCGCAGCCATCTTGGCTCGTCACTGGACCTTTCAACACCGAGTCCTCCCATTGGTCGGATTGCAGCCCGAGGAAATGATCGCCGTACGGGATTGGTTGGCGCCGCAAGGCACGCCCCGCGGCGGTGGAGAACGTCTGGAAAGGAGACTCCAGGCTGGGTCGCGGTGGGAATCTGGAAGCGTCTGTTTCTCTGTGGCGTCGGGTTCGCGAGCGGAGTCCGTCGGTCCCGCCGAGCGCTCCCGAGACGGGGCAGAGTTCTAAGGGTTTTGACTTTGGTCTGTTTTTAAGGGGAGGGGGTGTGAGCGGGGAAGAGAATGGACAGGATACTGACTGCAACGTTAATTGGAGCGTTTCCTAAGCGAAGAGTCATCTAATTCCATATTCTTCTCCCTTCATTTGCTCCATTAGGCCTAGCTTCATTTCTGAATCCTCCGTGTTGAGATCGGACAGTGCGTTTGGCCTGTTTCAGGGGTGACAGGGGATCCCATCCCCGTGCATTTTAATTAGGGCACGCCACTCAACCACGTGTTTGCGATGGAATTTCTGAAGACTTGTGTGCTTCGGAGAAAGGCATGTACCACGGTTTGCTTCTGGAGAAGCCAAGTTATACAAAAGCTTTCCGTTAGAAAGATCGGTACTACCTCTCCGAGGAGCACTGTCATGCCCGCGTGGGTGATAGACAAATACGGGAAGAATGAAGTGCTTCGATTTACTCAGAACATGAGGATGCCCATCATACACTATCCGAACGAAGTCATTATCAAAGTGCACGCTACGAGTGTAAATCCCATAGATGTTAATATGAGAAGTAAGTTTGGAAGACATTCCTCGTTATTATATATATATTTTTGTTTTTCTTAAGAGAACTTCATCAGGGATCAGTAATTTTAAAAGATCAATCGTTATTTTAGTATACTTCTTTGGCTAACACAAAGGAATTGTTTAGGTTCTTGACAGTATGTCAGCAGATAGTTCCAAGATGTTTGAAATTGCAATGCCCATGGTGTACTTTAATCTTTTGCAAAATGTAAATTCGAATTGCTTCCAGGCTTTCTTAAAATGTAAATTGGGACTCGAGAGTTGTGTCCGCAGCTAGCTTTCTGGTATCCTCTCCTGGGGATTTTGTGATATTCTGAGGTCTATCACAGGTTTCAGAGGTACGGTTATGTTTTCACATCAGTTCAGAATTTGCATTTTTGTAATACTTCTTTGCTCTCTCACCGTTCACAGCTTTCTTATTTCTTCAGAAATTCCATCCTTGCCAGGATGTGGACACAGTACTTTCCTCCTTTCTGCTGATGCATTTGGCCTCAGCAGTTAAAATACACTTTTCTGTTATCCTAAGTGGGAACAATGTTACTGTATCTTAATTTCTCCTGGGATATACTGACAAAGATTGAACAGCACTATGATTCCTTAAATATATACCATGTAATTATAGTGCTGAAAAAAATTGATTACTATTTGTGAATAACTTTGGAGAGTAGTGACAAAAATATTGCTTATGGGAACTTATTCATGTCTTCTGAAAAAGTAAAAAAAACATCTGGGATGATTGATTGGTCAGTTAACCTCAGTGTTCTAAACAAGCTTCCATATGAGTATAATTTTATCACGTGTCTGTGTTTTGAAGACCTATATGTAGACCTACAGTTCTACTCATCAGATTGCCTCAATAACACTTGTGCAGGGTGGGGCCAAAGTAGGTTTACAGTTGTATGTGAAATACAGTTTATTCTTGTATTACTTATTAATGATTGTGTTATTTTCTATACAAACAACTTAAACCTACTTTTGCCCCATCATGTATGTGAACTATGCATGATGAATTAAATTTCTTTCATATATGTATATATCTAATAACAAAATTAAGATTAATTTAGAGTGAATCATTTTGTGGAATTTAGAGAGAAATAAAGAAGTTGAAACTTTGACTTCTTTAATTCCTTCCTCTTTGTTTCTAGGAGTTGTGTGATAGAGTAGAATAGCAACTCTCAATTTTTGTGTTCTTAAGATCTCTTTACATGCATAATAATGATTTGGCTTTTGTTTATGTGAGTTATAGCTATGAATATATCTCCCTTGTTAGAAATTAGAATAAGATAACTGGATCTTCATATGTATTTCTGTATTCAGTCTGTTGCAATGTATCCATGATTTTAAGTCAGGAATTACTGTATTTTGTTGTTCGCTTTGACATAATAATACCACTACGTGGGCATATTGTTTTATTCCATTTACACTGGATGTGAAGATAATTTAGTTTTTATAGGATATGTCTTTAAGTGGTTGTTTTACATCCAATGATAAGTGTTTATACCCAGTGATCAATGGGTATAAATTGTGAAGGTAGGTTGTATACTCTGTTAACAACTAACTGTTTCAGTACAGTACTTCACATATGTGGTTGTCATGCAGTCATTATTTTTATGGCATTTTACATTTTCACTCTAACTTAAGATTATAAACTAAAATTAGCAGTATTTTATCCATGAGCATTATTTACATTTGTCTTCATTTAGAACTGCTAACTTTCATTTCTTTGAATGCACCTGCATAATTTGTATTGTGTACATTTCAATTTCAGTAGAATGGCTGGATCTGGACTTTCTTTGCTGCTATTTAATAACAAAATATTGTAACATTTTACTTTTATATAGTATTCTTAAGACATCTTAGTTTATGATTTGATTGGACAATATTATTTGCAAGTTACTCTCTTTATGTCCTGCTCATGGATTCTTTTTTGAGAATGTGCGGTTGTTGCAGGAGGTATCTGAAATGGTAGCTCGGGGAAATAAGTAACAACTAGAAGCTTGTAAACTATAGGAAGCAGTTTTCCTTGACAAGAAAGCAAGGACATGCTATTTTCTTTTGAAAGATGAAAGTAGACTGTTTATCTAGAGATGGCCATTATTGTTGGACATAAATCATAACATATAAATGGCTAAATAAATTTATTTCAATTAAAAATACTTTATTCCCACCCCCCACCCATTTGGTAACCATCAACTTGTTCTCCATATCTCTGGGTCCTTTCCCGTTTTGTTTATTCATTTGTTTTTTTAGATTCCACATCTAAGTGAAATCATACAGTATTTGCCTTTCTCTGTCTGAATTATTTCACTTAGCCTAATACCCTCAGCCCATCCATGTTGTCGCAAATGGCAAGATTTCATTCTTTTTTCCCTGCTGGATAATATTTCATTGTGTATATACTGTATATCTCACATCTTCATTATCTGTTCATCTGTTGATGGACAGCTAGGTTGCTTCCATGTCTTTGCCATTACTAGGAATGCTGCAGTGAACATAGAATAATTTTAAAATAAAAAATACAGCCAACAACATCAAACCAACAGTTTGGTTTCTTTAGGTGGAATTAAAGCTTTGAAACTGATGACAGATTTATGATTTTCCAAATTATTCTAACTCTGGCCCAATCAACTGGCCACTTCTAACAATGGGATGAAGCTCCTAAGGGCCCCCCTTTGTCATCAAACAGGTTCTCAGTTGCTAACTACCAGCTACATTTTGGATTTGGGACCTGTGAGCCGGGGCTATTCAGTTGATACATTGGCATATCATGGGGACCAAGAGAACGAAATAACTGCCCTGCAGGTCTGTACCTCAGAGAGGACTGAAGCCTTTTGCAACTCTCAAACAGCAGCTAATATTTGATATGGCTAAATGCCTACTTCTGTTGCTCAAACCACATAGGAATTTCAGTAAATAATTGTTTAAATGTGTTTTAATGGTGGAAATCTAAGACAGGAAAAGTAAAACATGGCTTTTGTATTATGTGTGAAGATTTTTTTTTTCTTTCTTTTCCTGATAGAGTGCACACCTAACTAGCTAGATGACAAATGTGTAGTACCAGCATGATGGCTTAGATTTTCTGGGACTATCCCAACTTTCAAACACTTTCTCCCATATGTCTTTACTTAGAAAAACAGCTCTGCAAGCTACCCACCTGTTGGCACCTCTCCCTATATCTCCTACATCCCCTCCTGCTTTATAGGTTAGTTGTCATTGTTGTAAGGCCAGCCCTCCACTTGGGTTCTAGATTCCATCTCTCAGCTTCTCAGCTACTGGGGGCGGGGGGGGGGGGGGGGGGCAGGCATTGTTTCAGCAATTCTCTCCTGCATCTTCAATCTTTTCTTTTCTACTGGGTCATTCCCATTAGCATACAGACTGCTACTTCTCCCATCTTAAAAGGGAGGGAATGGGGAGAAACACATTGAAAAGTCCTCTCTCCATCTCAGTTGCACCTCTCCACTGTCTCCTACTTCCCATTCTCTGTATCTCCACGCCAGAGCAACTGCTCCTATCAATGTCACCTAATGTACTACCCCTGAGAGTGGGTTGGGGAAAGGAGACTTATAGACTGGTTTAGTGATTCTGGAATTTAAATTGTGGTACATGACACTAGAAAGGTAAGCAGAGTGCTTATCTTAGAGAACTTCACGACATGTTCTCAAAAAGATGTCAAGTAGAGAGACAATTACAGATACTTTTGTGTCTTGGAAATATCTATCTATATATATATGTATATATATATATAATTATACATTTATTTTTTTAAATTGATTTCAGAGAGGAAGGGAGAGAGAGAGAGAGAGAGAGAGAGAAACATTAATGATGAGGGAGAATCATTAATAGGCTGCCTCCTGCACATCCCCTATTAGGGATTGAACCCGCAACCCAGATGTGCCCTGACTAGGAATTGAACCATGACCTCCTGGTTCATAGGTTGATGCTCAACCTCTGAGCCATGCCAGCTAGCCCATTTGATATATTCGGATTATTGTAGATAGAATAGCCAACTTATTGAACCAAAAAATATGATCAGAATGTTTTCAGCTCTACTTAGCTGATATTTATGTAAATGTTCTTAAAAATAAATGGATATGTATAATAAAGCAATTAACTTGATTTAACGTATTAGAACAGGTGCAGATGAGTGGTTCTTTTTCACTGGAGAGTCAATCGATGGGCTTAATCCATAGATGTTCTGCAAACACTTTTTGGGAGGTGGGGGCCATTACTTATAGACCAATGTCAGTGTCAAATATAACTATGCCTTATTTATTGGTTTATTAACTTCAAACAGCTTTAGGGTTTCTCTTCTTCACCAGACTGGGCTCCAAACAACTTTGTTGTTTAAAAAGCTTATGAATGAATACATTAAAGAAACTGTCTTCAAAAAACAAACTAAAACTATAAGAGAAAATACTGAAAGTACTGAAGGCAGTTTCAAAATTGAATTTTAAACATTTTGAGCAATGGTAGCTTTGGTTTAACAAGTGATTATAACTTTCCAAGTAATTTTCTTTGAAAGGAACAGCACTCATTGTTTCGTTTTGTTTCTTTTTTATTGAATTTATTGGGGTGACATTGGTTAATAAAATTACATAGGTTTCAGGTGTTCAGTTCTGTAAAACATCATCTGTATATTGTATTGTGTTGACCACCCCAAGTCAAGTCTCCTTCCATCGCCATTTATCCCCCCTTTATCCACTTCTGCCTCCCACCTCCCTTTGGCACTCATTGTTTTTATGATTTCTTGTGTGGTGGCAAACAAACAAACAAACACACAAATTTTATTAATTTATAATCTACATCCAGAGTATCTAGAATTGTACCTGGCCTATACCCTGTAGTAGTTTTTAAATCATTGCATTCTTTTGGAAGAAACAGATAAAACTGTATTTTATAGGTGGTTATGGAGCTGCAGCTTTAAATATGAAACGTGACCCTTTACATATTAAAATCAAAGGAGAAGAATTCCCCCTGACTCTGGGTCGGGATGTCTCTGGTGTGGTGATGGAATGTGGACTTGATGTGAGGTACTTCAAGCCTGGAGATGAGGTGAGTTATAGGATACTGCTATTCCCTTTCTAAATATGCAAATTTCATTCTGCTGCTTTTGGAAGTATATTCCATATCAGCGACCTTTCCTCTTCGTTCCAACAAATATACTGAGCTTTGGCTGGAACCCTTATTTTCTTATCTCTGTTATTCTCGATTCTGGCAGAATAGCTTGACTGTGCCCAAGTGTTCTAAATCTAGTGCTTAAAGATTGCAGGACTTTGTGTGTGATTGGGACTGTTTTTCTTTTTATTGAAAGAATCTTTAAGTGACAATTTCTACCTCATAGGCAAGATAGTTTTAAAATAGCTGAAGTTTGGTATAATCACCTGTCACTTGTCACTTTGAATTTTTACACCAAGAAATTAAAGTGAGTTCATAATTATAGCTAACACTGATCTTGTTGCTTTTCATAAAATAATTCTTTAATCTCTATGTTGTAAGTACAGTTAGGCCCACTTTACAGATGGGGAAACCAAGCTATACAGCTACACAGAAGTTCCACAGCTGGTAAGTGGTAGAGCCAGGATTCATGCCCCAGAGATTGTGCTCTTGGTGGTATTTTAAAGTATGTAGTCAGTAAATACAGCAGCATCTGCTTCCAGTGTGGCTTGACTTGATAAGTGCAGAAGCATACTAAATAATACATTTATTTATATCATGTAAAAATAACTTTTGGTTGTTGTATTGCTGACTTGTGCTTTTTTCATTGGGTGGAGTATGTATTGGGGATTACCCTCCTGCTTAGCTTTGGTTAAAAAAGATTTGTTTCTAAGGAAGTTGTGTGTGTGTTTCAGGTCTGGGCTGCAGTTCCTCCCTGGAAACAAGGCGCACTCTCAGAGTTTGTTGTAGTCAGTGGGAATGAGGTAATTCACCAATTCTGTGCTGAAATGCCATTAGAAAGTACAAGACTGACAAATATCTCTGAAATAATTGTGGGGTTTTTTTCAGATCAGGTTCATGTTTAATGAGCTAAGAGGTTTAAAAGAGCGAAGATAGAGAATAGGAATTTCTGAAAGATTAGAAAAGTATTTGATGTCATTTAACAACACTGCCTGCCAAAGTGGTGTCTTTGTCTTGTGGAGCTGGGACTTGGAGTGAGATCTAGAAGCCCTGCTGTGTTTCTTGGTTTTACCCAGTGTAAGTAGCGGAAACCAAATATACCAAATGGAGTGTACTGGTTAATTACAAACAGAAGCATGGCGGTGTCAGATTGTTTCAAGTAACCTTAAAAACAGGCATCTGATCAAATACAGTCAGAAAGTCTGACAATTTGAATAGAGAGAAAGGGGTTAACGTCGCGGAACTTGGCTACAGAAGGAAGGGTATGGAGGGAAGAAGGGATATTACTAAGATTAGAAAAAGCCTGGAAAGATTACCTTCCAGTAAATGGGAGTAAAGGAAACAACTAATCTAAAAACAAATTACAATGTGTTTATGAGGGCTCAAGGTTTATTTGGATTTATTTCTGTGTTAGGACTAGTGGGATTATTGAATGTGGCCTTTTTATGAATTAAGCAACTATATCTGATAATGTAGCCTGTAAAACATTACTGAGCCTCTGACCCCAGGAGGGCAGGTTGAGTCATTTGGAGAATATTCCTTAGGGATAATCTTAAAGTAGGGTATGTAATAAATACTGAACCTGGCGGAATATTATAGACTTATCTATGAGAATGGTTGGATTCCTGTGAAGGTAAATGTATTTAATTGCATTCATAGGTTTGTAAGTCATTGCTTATTTGTTACTGTTATCTTCAAATCTAGGTCTCTCACAAGCCCAGATCACTCACTCATACTCAAGCTGCCTCTTTGCCATATGTGGCTCTCACAGCCTGGTCTGCCATAAACAAGGTTGGCGGCCTGAATGAAAAAAATTGCGCAGGAAAACGGTAAGTATCAATGGTGGCATCTAAACCTTCTCCCTTTCCTTTTGTAAGGATTTTGCCATAGATTATCAGAAGCATTAAAACTAGGATCACTTACATGAGCAGAGTTGTGCTGACATTTAAAACAATTTCCAAAGAACTCTATTTGTGTCGTTTTGCACTTTCTTAATTTTATTCTATTGAGTCTTAGTTCAATCAAATGCAAATTTTAAAATTGAAATGTATAGATGGGCTTTAGGACTCTGAACTTTCCAAAATAATACAAAATTTTATGTGACACTCTGAGAAGAAGGTCTGTAGCTTTTACCTGATTCCTAAAACGGTTAAGAATCACTTTATATAATTTCTAAAGAAAGATGCAGGTATTTTTTTCCTACCTCTACTAGGAGTTGCCCTCTCATACTTGTGCACGTCTATGAAAAGCAGATAGAAAGAGAATGCAAAACACTGCTGAATAATCTTGAGTTCTCTTAGCTCAATGCTTGGTGCTCTTTAGGTTAATTTTGGTGCTTCAAGGCCTTGAAAGTAATGCTTGTTTACGTTAGCAACAATAGTGAGTAGAAATATCTTTGATGAACTTGAGTTCAAATTCAGGTTCTGCTGCTTTCTAACTGGGTGGCCCACTTGGTCACTTCTCCTCTGTGAGTTTGTTTTTAATGAGATAATACAACTAAAACTAGTGGCACAGGTTGTGACACATGGGAGGCACTCAATAAATAGTGGCTACTGTTATTAGCAATGAAATTATATTCTTTGTATCTTAGAAAGTTGATATCATAGGGAAAACTGATGAGAACTAGGTACTAAGAACCATTTAGTGGTTGTGATGAGGGAGAGAGCTATAGGTCAAATTTTAATAAATTACAATAACTTAGTTTTTGATTGCTAAGGATTGTGCAGATAAAATAACTGAAGTCTGTGCCATTTCATACTCTGGTGTTGTGAAACATTGCACTTTACATTTAATGTGTTGAGTTACAGAGCATTGGATTTCATGAAAGCTGTATTCCTGAAAACAGTGTGAAGGCTATTCATCTAATGAGGTGCTACCCTTTATCGTAGAATTCAAAGCAAATATTTATTCTAAAGGTCAACCATGTTTATTTTTTAAGCTTTGAGGCTTATCTTTCTTGAAGTTGCCATTTTGGCTAAACACGTTGTTTAAATTAAATTAGTTTGACCACGTGGATTTTTCTAATGACTTGTCATGGTTAATAACCTTGCAAAAATCTTATTCAAGATTTTTAGACCTTTATTATTATTGTAAGCTCTGCATTAACACTGATGCTTTATTGTTTTGTTTTGCCTTAAAAGCATTATACTTTCTATGCCCACATGACTGTGGTTAAAGATGTGTCATTCTTTTTGCTAGTTTGGGGCTCTCCAGGCATACTTTTATTTAGTACCCTGAAGAAAACAATTTAGAAACAGATCTAGCTCTCTCTTCTCAGATATACAGATTTTATTGTTGGGTTTCTGGGTAATTCTTAGATACTGTGTTATCTTTTATCTGAACAATAATGGTTTGGAACTGGGGAAGTAAAGCCCTGGGTTCTATTGTACATTGTGCTGCTAACTAATCAGGCAACTACATGGATGCTATCTATGGTCTCTTCGCACTTTCCTTCAAGGTACTGAATGTAGGACAGTGTAGTTTGTTAGGAGAGCTGTGAGAAGTGGAAAGTTTTATCCCCTATAAGGTGATTATATATTATACTAGAGGCCCGGTGCACAAAAATTTGTGCACTCGGGGGGGTGGGAGGGGGATCCCTCAGCCTGGCCTGTGCCCTCTCGCAGTCTGGGACCCCTCAGGAGATAACGACCTGCTGGCTTAGGCCTGCTCCAGGGTGGCAGAGGGCAGGCCCAATCCCTAGGTGCAGCCCCTGGTCGGGCTCAGAGCAGGGCCGATTGGGGAGTTGGGGCGCCGCCCCCTGTCATGCACAGAGCAGGGCGATCGGGAGGTTGTGATGCCACCCTCAGTCACGCTCAGGGTAGGGCCGATTGGGGGGTTGTGGCGCCGCCCTCTATCACCCACAGAGCAGGGCCGATCAGGGGGTTGGGGCGCCGCCACTCTCACACTCAGGGCAGGGCCGATGGGGAGGTTATAGCTCTACCCCATCACACACAGAGCAGGGCCCGTTGGGGGGGCGGGGGGCGGGTTGGGGCGCCGCACCCTGTCACACACAGAGCAGGGCCAATCAGGGGGTTGGGGCTCCGCACCCTGTCACACACAGAGCCGCAGGGCGATCAGGGGGTTGGGGAGCTCCCCCCCTATCAGGCACAGAGCAGGGCTGATCAGGAGATTGGGGCGCCTTCCCCTGTCACGAACAGAGCAGGGTGGATAGGGAGGTTGTGGCCCCGCCCCCTGTCACACACAGAGCCGCAGGGCGATCAGGGGGTTTGGGCACTGCCCCGTGTCACGCTGATCCCGGTGCTGGGAGGCCTGGCGGCTCCGCTGATCCCAGTGCTGGGAGGCATATTACCCTTTTACTATATAGGGTAGAGGCCTGGTGCACGGGTGGGTGCCGGCTGGTTTGCCCTGAAGGGTGTCCTGGATCAGGGTGGGGGTCCCCACTGGGGTGCCTGGCCAGCCTGGGTGAGGGGATGATGGCTGTTTGCAGCTGGTCACACATCCTTCAGGGTGGGGGTCCCCACTGGGGTGCCTGGCCACCCTGGGTGAGGGGATGATGGCTGTTTGTAGCTGGTCACACACCCTTCAGGGTGGGGGTCCCCACTGGGGTGTCTGGCCAGTCTGGGTGAGGGGCTGAGGGCTGTTCATAGGCTGGGGGTGACTGAAGCTCCCAACCGCTCCTTTTTTTCTTTTTTTTTTTTTTTTTTATTCTGGGCCAGCTTTAGCTTTGAGGCTTGGCTCCAGCTCTTAGGCCTCTGCTGCTGAAAGTAGGTTTCTGGCCTTTGCTTACAATGTTGCGATCCTGCTGGCTGAAGCCCGGCAGACTAAAGCAGGTTTCTGGGGTTTTGTTTAGCTTCTATATTTGTTGCATAGTTGCTTAGAATTGCAGCTCAGAGGCCTGCAGTGGCAGGCGGGGAATGTTGGAGTCCTTCGTCACTGAAGCAAGCAAGCCTCATGTTAGTTTCAAGCTGCCTGGCTGCCGGCGCCATCTTGGCTGGCAGTTAATTTGCATATTGCCCTGATTAGCCAATGGGAAGGGTAGCGGTCGTACGCCAATTACCATGTTTCTCTTTTATTAGATAGGAGGATTGAGTTGGATCTGTTCACTGATTTAGTCACATGTTAACCAAACCAGAGTATATCCGTTGTGAAGAGCCTCACTAGCTCACATCATAGACTTCTGCCATATTCCCGCGTGCATGATGACCTAGGATGCCTTTATTCCAAATGGCAGTGAGAGCTTGGCCCTGGTGCTCTAAGAAATTTTAGTTTATGGAAATTACTACGCATGGGTGGTAATAATAGCCTACCTCTCCAACTTCTTATTTGTGAGAAACACATGAGAGAGTTAATTAAGTACCTTAAAATACTGTGAAAAATACTTCTACATGAAGAAATTACTGCCAGAGTGGGATTTTACTATACATAAACCCAGAGGTTCCAGAGTCCAAAGGGACTTCTCTAAGCAATAATTCTTTTTCTGTTAGCTATCGGCATTAAGACACTCTTTAGTTTACACAAAACAGGTCAGTGTTTGTTATTAAGGACTTAACGTCTGTTTCTATTTTCATTATTATTTTTTATTGAATTTATTAGGGTGACATTGATTAATAAAATTATATAGGTTTCAGGGGTACAATTCTGTAATACAGTATCTGTATATTGTATTGTGTGTAAAGTCTGTTTTTCTAATCAGTTAATTAAAAAACAAAACCCAGCAATGATAAAAACACCCATTAGCACCTTGGGAGTAATGACAAACAGCATTTTGAAATTAAGACAACGCTTTCTAAGAGTTTGATGGTGTTTACCTTTTCCTTTTAGTTTTATAATTAATTTTTGCAACAACTGAGCATCAGTGAACCAAGGGGATAACTTAATATTAATGTCATATAAAATGTTAATTTTGCCCACACTTTGGTATCACTAGAAAATGTCAGGTGAAATGATTTCCTTCTTACCTGCCCATCATAGTTTCTTCATGATTTATTCAGTAGGAACACATAGATAACTTAGGGCTATTAAAATGAATACAAATTTTTTTAAAAGTGCTAACACTAGATATATATTTTTTAATATATTTTTATTGATTTCAGAGAGGGAGAGGAAGAGAGGGATAGAAACATCAGTGATGAGAGAATCATTGCTTGGCTGCCTCTTGCACGTCCCCTTCTTGGAATCGAATCCGCAACCCAGGCATGTGTCGTGACTGGAATCGAACCTGGGACCCTTCAGTCTGAAGGCCAACGTTCTATCCACTAAGCCAAACCCGCTTGGGCAACACTAGATATTTTTTAAAGCTGTCTGACTTGATGATTATATTTATTAGTAGTGTCATGGTCCACCTTGAATATTTCATGCTCTGTCTGAAATTCATCTCTTATTGGGAAAGTTGTACTTTACTCTGTTAGACGGAAGTATTAGAAAGTGTTAGAAATTGAACAATTCCTCCTCCACAAAATAAGTTTCACTTTTAAATTTTATGTACCTGAAACTCAGTGCAGTGAATTTAGGAATGCTTTTCATTGTTTCCTTTGATATCAGGCTTCATGACAGTCATATTTTGTCAAGTAAGGTTAAATTAGGTATCTGATTAATTCTGTTTATAAAATTAGGCTCAAACTTAAAAACACTGGATTTACCCCTCTTCCCCAATATGCTTATATCGGTAATCATAACAGCTTCCTTTTTTCAGATGCCTTCACCTGCCTGTTATTCACCCCACCACCCACCTGTTTCTCCCCTCTATTTGCACCACCCCTGTGGACTTTGGGTTTTTATTTGCACTTGACTAGGTTGTATAGTTAGAGGGGCAATGGGAGGAGAAAGAAATTCTTGCATTTTACTTGCTGAAAGAAATTGTGGGGTTTGG